TCTTGCCACAGGGGAGGTAAACATACTCCATAATATAAATGAATATGATGGTGGCGACGAATCGAACGAAGATAGCGAAGATGAACCAGAATTTGAAGACATAGATGATGATTCAAATRATGAAGATGAACCGATGTTATCTGATCATTCTTTTGATGAGTAGCTTGTCTTCTGTATGCTTATTTCACAGTTGTACATATATAATCGCGATTTCTCATTATCTTTTTTCATGATATAATATAATGTTTGTTTTTTCAGGAGATGTCACGCCGAGATCGTGGTAGAGGCCGTCATGGGAGTCGTGACAGCCCTATGTCTGGTAGGGGTAGCAATTCTGCCCGCGCCGATGACATTTTAGAGTTTTCGGACACCGCTTTTCGCGGTTTAGATCAGCAAGAGGAGGCCATGGCGACCCCAGCTTCGACAGGTTCGGGTTCGGGGAGAGGCCCCAACCTAGAGATGCTGACACCGAGTCATCTGAGCCACCGAAGACATCTGTCTTTGTTAGGCCATGGGTAAGTAGATGTGGTATACGACTTTGTATTACATAATAAATTAATATGAATGTCTTTGTGTTGTAAATATTTGTTTAATTGTACAGGTTTAAAGATGHCCATGTTATCCGAGAGATGACGACTATCTTCAGGTCTTCCTTTGCTGGTCCGTGGCATAGATGGAAGGAAGTACCTCAGGAAGCACGTGACTTGATGTTCCAGCGCTTTAGGGTTGGTGTACCATTTTAATATAATTATACATACAAGGTTATTGTTTTTACATTTATACAAACATTGTGTGTGTAGGCTAAGTTCCAGTCGGAACCTGAGCTAGATGACACGGTTCATGATTTATCGACCAAATCCATGCACAACAGGTACTCTGATTGGATGAGCTCTGCACGTGATTGGGCCGTGGCACATGCCTATCCTGGTGATCAACAATGGGATGGTGAGGACTTCTCACGGATTAGATTACACCATCCCGTATGGATACCAGACAGGTTCTGGCTGCAGATGATTRATAYGGTATGCATCTCTATTGTAAGCTTTTCGAACTGCCATGTGTACCGATTTTCGCCTTATATATGTGCTCTGTTTTTAACACGTCTGGGATACCGAGGCTTGGAAAAGGAAATCCAGGATCAATCGGGCCAATCGGAACACCGAGTTTGAGGGG